AGGGAGAAAAGAAGGGAGGAGGGAGGAAAGGAGGGAGGAAGGGGGAGGGAGAAAGACAGGGGAAGGAGGGAGGGAAGGGATAGATTTAAGATCTAAGCTGAATGAAGATGCAAGAGAAGTTGGGGAGAGCTAAGAGCAGCCCCAACATGGCCGCTATCTCTTTCGACTCTAAAGTGTTGGGATTCACCCATTCTTGCACCTGAATCTCCAAAACAAACCACATATCTCTTGCTGGCTCTGCGTGGTCCCTGGGGTAGTGGAATCTGAACGGGCATCCTTTGAACAGTGTGGTCCTTCCGTGTGGATTCCCGCCGTGGGAGCCCTAGCTTCCCTGTGCATGGGTATTCTTCGCAGGCACCTGGAAGCAGTGGAGCAGGCTCTTCGCCCTGGGCCCCCCAGAGAGAAGCTGCGGGGACCTTAATGTGGAGGTCATGTGAACTTCCTCAGGGGAGCAATGCCTGGCAGTGCTCATGCAGGCAGGGCAGGGGCAGGTGGCTTCTTCTGCCCTTTGGGGGTCAACACAGGGCTTCCCTGATGGGGCATTTCTGGTCCATTATCCCTGCATCATGCGGTCAGTGTGGGAGCTTCACCTTGTGCTCACTTGCACCCATTGGATGATCTCGTAATTTACTCGCTTTCTTCCATAATGGTATTTGCTGTTTTGCATAATGCAGCCAGAAGAAGTTTAAGTGTTTGTCCAAGGCTGATGTCGCATCTTGTGTGATCTTGTGTGGAGAAGTGTCAGCTTTCAGAAATATTCTTTTGTGGAAGAGGAAAGGAGGCAAGGGTATCAGCACTGGGGCCTTTTAATCCTGCTTTGTGATTTTTTTTTTTTTTTTTTTTGGTTTTTCGAGACAGGGTTTCTCTGTGTAGCTTTGCGCCTTTCCTGGAGCTCACTTGGTAGCCCAGGCTGGCCTCGAACTCACAGAGATCCGCCTGGCTCTGCCTCCCGAGTGCTAGGATTAAAGGCGTGCGCCACCAACGCCCGGCTCTGCTTTGTGATATTTAAAGCTGCTCTTATTCCTGTGCAGATTAACTACAAAGCACTCTTGGAGGCTGGGGACCCCCAGCCTTGGCACATTGGGCATCTCACTCAGGTAATTCTTCAGAGCTGTCCTGCTTTCAGGGTTCTGAGCTGCATCCTTCTTGTCCACCCGGAAGTTGCCATGAGCCACCCTCTCACATGAGTGACATCCAAATGTGTCTCAGGACCTGCTGGCCCTGTGTCCCCAGGATGCAAAATCATCCCCAACTGAGAAGCAGTAACGTGTGGGACTGTGTGACTTTCTTTGTCACCAGAGGAGCCAAGGAGAGGCAGCATGTTCCTCCTCCAATGCCGATCCAGAAAGGCCAGCTTTAGTACCATTTCCCTCGCCCCCATTCTGTCCGTATTAAAAAGCAAACAAAATGTTTGCTGTAGTTGTCCATTTTCAAAATTGTTTATGCCTTAGGTAGACATGATTTAGGAGGATACACCCCACCAGTCTGTGCTACGCCTCACTTCTCGACGGGGCTGGGAAGCCACCTGATGTTAAAGTTGGCAGTGACACACACGTGAGATCCACGTGGGGACAAGCAGGCGCCTCGTGTGGCTTTTCCACACACGGCACGTCAAGTCCCCTTTCAGCTCCCGGGCTCCGACCCCGGCCACAGCACCGCTGTCTCGGTGTTTACGCTGTGCTTCGCTGCATCAACCACGCGCCACACTTCACAAGAAGTCTTATTAAAGACATTTGTTTTAAATAATAAGGTGGATGAGGTATTCCAAGCAATCACAGCTTTGAAAATGCTATAAATACGTATTAAAAATCTAATAGATCATAGCCAGGACTTTGATTTGTGGAAAATTTGTCATTAACACAACAGGATTACTAATTCCCAACAAAGCATCTGAGACAGCCTACAGCCATGGGCAACTTACAAAGGTTAGGGGAAAAAATTTAAAACTATTATTACTTTTATAAATAATTGATTATCATTTATTATGAAATAATTACCTTTAAGTTATTACCGTAGCTAACAAGTGATTGCTCGGAGATTATTGCTTAATCACCACTAAACAACCGTGTGCATATGGCCTGTGATAGCCATTGTTCCTTATTAATTTTTACAAGCACAGATGGCTGGGTACAATCAGGAAGACTGACGGGAAGTAATGTTTTTTAATGTAATCACCACATAAATATGTCAAATGTTTTTCTGTTTGTTTTGCTAACAGTATAACACGATTTTAATGAAGATCTGAGGATGGTGATTTTTTTTTCCTATCTAACTAGACAAAAGGAAAATATGTACTCGAGCTGCATATAAAGCTTTATTATAAAAGCATTTATATCACAGAAGTGTTCATCCCGTCGGTACATCTAACCTTGATTTAATATCAGATGAAAAACACAGGAAAATAGTTATGACCCAGGGACAGTTCGACAGTTCATGGTACACTGATGCCGACAGTCCGTGACAAACACAGCGTGCTGGTGGGTTATGGATAATGCGTCTGGTTTTGGAAAGGCTGGTGCAAAGCCAAGGGGAGAGTGGTGATGATGACCAGTGCAGGAGATAATCTGGCCCGCAAGTCTTTTATTAGTGCAATTGTCTATGTGACAATACAGGACTCTAGACCTTGTTTATAAACACAGTTTTCGTAATACAGAAGTAGGGGTTTATAGGCAGAGTCCTGCACCCAGTGTCTCCCTTTCCTGTACTCTGAAGACCATCTCTCATTTCAGGGAAGAGTCTGAGCAGTGTCCCCATGCCTGAGAAAACAAGGAAGGTAGGAAATGGCCCCATTTAGGCATTGGTGCTGGGGCTCAGGAGAATCCAGTTCCTTGGGACAGCCTGGCTGCAGAAAATCTGGAGGTGGGGCTTGGGGATGACTATCGCCACCTACAGAGTGGCCCTGCAGGCAAATGGTCTGTAGACATCCTGCAGGTCAGGGGAGGACTCATTTGGTTGAATCCAAGCAGCTGGCCGGAAGTCTGAACCCTGGGTCTGGTCAAGATGCTATTGCTTTTGGCCACAGATGGCGGCAAGATGGTGGCACATATGGTCACTTCCGAGTACAGCAGCACCCGTACAGTCATCTCCCCATAGGAGGCTCAGATCACAAGCAAGCTGCTCCTAACTTGGGAGGCAGGGCAGGAACAGATGTTGAGGGTCTCCTTGGGGAGTCCCTGCATGGATCGATCGCAGGAGAAGAGTAGCTCCAGGGAACCTGCTGCTCGAGCCCCACACCCAGCCGCTGTCAGTCTCAAACCCAATTTCCAGTGCACGGTGTGTCCCCAGAGGACTCTGCAGAGGCTGCTTCCTGAGTGGCCATGTGCATGTCGTCTGAAGAGTCTCCCTTTCCTCTGAAAAGCAAAGTATACACAACACTTCTAGGTAACGAGAGGACTCAGCTGATGGGTCCTGGCAGCCCAGTCTTTGACAAATCGCTACCTTTACCCAAGTGCTTCCACTTCCCCGCACTAGCTAACTCAAGCCAGCCAATCGTGCACCTGAGAGGCAGGAACAGCCCCAGTCTCACCAAAAGTCCTGTGTCTCTCATGTAAATAAGGGCTCAGTGCCTAGAGCATGGTGGAGCTTAGCTTTCTGATGTGCAGATCTCCTCTGCCTAAGGCACCCTGAGGTGCTGCGAGGTACTGGAGAAGACTTTGTCAGTGCCCATCTGCCTCTGCTCTTTTTTTGACAGCACCATGAGAGTAACTTCCCCAAAGGGCTCTTTGAAGGTACCGCAGTCCTACCCAGCTCTCTATAGTGGTCCTGAGTCACTTAGTAGTGACCCTCAAACTTGGATGCAAGTTGAAACCATCCTAGGGTCTAACTGGACCTACATCCATGTCACATCACATCTGTGCACACACAAGATGACTCATTCCATCCTGCATTGAGTCCAAATATTCATGCAGAAGGTCCCATCACATCTTTAAGCCTATAATCGACTACTGGAGATCCACGCAGAATAACGAACGTTCTCTTTCTGACTGAAGAAGCAGGAGATACTCAACAAAGAAAGAAAGAGAAGGGGGCTGATGATGGCCACCCAAGCCTGTCGGTTACTAAGAATTGTCTGTTTCGGGGCTAGAAAGATGGCTCCATGGTTAAGAGCTTTGGATGTTCTTCCAGATGACCCCAGTTCAATTTCTAGCACCCATATGACTGCTCACCATGGTCAGTAAACTCCAGTTCCAGGGAATGATGCCCTCTTCTGGCTTCCACAGGCAGGAGGCAAACACATGGCACAGATACACATGCAGACACAGCATCCATACACAGAAATAAAAATATGTAGGAACGGCTGTTTCAACTGAGCCATTTCATCACATCCCAAAAGGAAGTGTTGAATTGTTGGCTGCTTCAATGAAAGGAGGCTCTTGACTAGAGTGATTGGGAGAAAAGATCATTCGGGCATTTCAGATTCCCAGACTTCATTATGTGGAGAGCACACCAGTTTTGATGCAACACGATGCAACCTACTCAGTTGATAAACATTAGCTCATGTCAAAATGTTTCCCTTAGAGTTTACCAGTTTCTGAGATCCCACTGTCATCCCCCAGGCTTGTGCACGCTGCTGTCCCTTTGAGAACCCAGTGTCATCCCCCAGGCTTATGCACGCTGCTGTCCCTTTGAGAACCCAGTGTCATCCCCCAGGCTTGTGCACGCTGCCGTCCCTTTGCGGCTCTCTGCCCTTGTCACCTGTGTCCATAGCCAAAGATGATGAGAATTGCAGGTTTGAGGTAAGCGACTAAAGGGCTAGGGGCCAAACTGATCCCAAAGGACTCCCAGCAAGAGAATCCTTCTACACCTGGTGACAGAAATCATCATTATTGCCAG